GCTACTACAGCCAACCGACAATACTTTTCCTCACTTACGTTACTTGAATGAAATTCATTACCTTATTTTTATAATTGAAAGTTTCAATGGAAATACTTTTACACACTCGAAGGATTTAACTTACAAATGCTCAATTCTGGAAAATATAGGATTTTCTAGGGGTTTCTACTATTCTCAAACACTAATTACAGCTTTTACATCACATGATTGTAAACACTTTTATACAAACAACGACACTAAATTCTTATGAACTCACCAGCTTTATGCTGATACACGTTTTCAAACTAACTTGTATCCTCAGGTCAAAGATAGACAGGTACTGGTGCAACTTTTGAGAAGATGGAGTGTATACAAGACTCATCTTTTATTTTTGTTTATACTTTTGGTGTCTATTAACTGTGCATAACATGTTTGTATTTATAATCACTATATTAATGTAATGGTTGTTGTCGCTTGTTTTTACTATTATGCAATTGTTATGATAATGTACATGACGTCCTCCACCCTGGAACGTATTCCGCCGTTCTCAGGTTTTGGGGTGTGAGAAAATGTTTGTCAATCTTAGTTAAATCTTCCTTTTTCAAAATGATGTGACAACATTGGTTTGTAACTCTACTAGAACATAATTAGTTTTAACTTCAACAAATCAAACTTCTCATTACAATATTAGCATGAAAAGGCTATCAAAGTGATGAATGTAGGCACACAAATTGAGGGGAAGTGGCCAAGAATAATAGCATCTGAAAAAAGATACTATCAATCAAAATAAGGTGTTTTCCCTTGTGGGGAATCTTGTGGGTGGCTTACTTCTGGTACATCAAAATAAAAACCTAATACAACTTTTTTGCAAATCGTAGGAAATCTAGAAATATTGCAAACAAATGTTACAACCTTATCCAAAAATATTATTTAATTAAACCAATATCATTATTACTAACCAACAAACTATATTGCATCCTGACTCAATTTTGACCACGAGGTGTTTGGATCCTCCTCTAATTTTAATATGTGGACCGCATTCTTAAAAGTAATTTTAAATCGGGCTAAAATTGTGAAAGAGGCATACCAAATTGATAAAAACAATTGAAATTAGGTTAAATCTGTAACGTCGTGATTTTCACCATAATTTTTTTTAAACGTTTATTTAATAGAATACGTTGGCAAAAGACTTAGTTTTTAATTCAAAACCATATCGTTACTTCATAAACTCAAGTATAATTCCAAACTAGTTCAATTGTAAAAAAAAGTACATTAAAGTAAATAATCAAAAATATGTCCAAGAGTGGTATCATTAATATATACAAATCTACCTATAGGAACCCCTCTCACCAATGTCAATCTTCTAAACCGCCTGCAGCAATCATAAGGCACAAAATAGAGAAGATACAAGTGACAGCCCCTGCCGAGTGAGTTCATAAAGTTGTATATAAAACATACAAACCCCAAATGGGTCAGTCTTTCATTTTACAATGAAGCATAAAAATGATAGACAAATACCACTTAGAAAACAACCGCATGTCATAACTATTTAATCACATATTCAACTGCATACATGCATATATGTTTAACCATAATTCTACCACATAACGTATATGATCAACCAAATACCACATAAGCAACCACATAGCATATCAATAATCACCTTTCATATATAAACAACCTTTAATTGTTCAACCTTTTATCAATAACCAACCTTTTATTACATATTCAACCTTTTAATATATATCCAACCTTTGTTATATAGTCAACCTTTTAATAAGTAACCAACCTTTTGTTACTTATTCAAAATTTTATTATATATATCCAACCGATTGATAGAAAAGTGTCCCTTAGCGCTACCCAACCCAAGAGAAACACCCCATTCACTGCTTGTTTGCACAGCCAACCAAATGCTCTAAGTGGCTCATGACTTCCACCCGAAACACCAACCCCATGACTCCACTTTTGCTACTCCGACTTTGCAAAGTACAAGTACCTCGTAGTGTCGTTCAGGATCAGTACAAATAATGTGAATTCTAATGATACACCTCTCAATTCCCACGTGATGTTTGATCCAGCTACACCATAAAGCCAACACCACTCCAGTTCCTGTACACCGAGGTGCACGCGAACCATGTGTCACACGACCGTCTAGAATGACCGTGTAACTAATCACCGTTATGGATTAAGCTCTTTCAACTTATTAAACTTGCAAGGTTCTACCGATGACACAATTATACCCCACAAACGAACAATCATACATCAACGTAGACATGCTACTCATATAGACCTTAACGAGCAATGCAACATATAATAAAATTCATCATATTATCACCTTGTTATGACATATGTCTACCAATGCATTACATCTTTAATTCAAAATGAGCATGCTAGATGATCAACCAATTCAAGCAATGTAACAAAAAGACATACCATCAATCAAGCATAACATATGAATATGGGTTTCATTAGGCACAATCATCACAAGCAATTTCAGCCAACACATATCAATCATAATTCGAGCAACATAAGCTAGCATACTACATACATCAAGTTCATCAAAGTGTAAGCAACATAACAATTAGGTCATAACATGGAATTAGCACAAATCATATATTAGCATCAAAAATATCATATCATCATCAAACACAAGTAATGACATGGTCATCCCAAATTGAATTAAATCATCATCTACTGATTGCACGTTTTAATCATGCAACCTTAGTGAGTTAAAACTATGAACTCACCTTTAGCCTTTAAGAAATCCTCCTTCTATTCCAAGTCTTGAACTTTCTTGAAATTCTCAAGGCCCCACCTAAACACCACACATAACAAGCAATTAACAAATAAAGTATATGTTTCAAAAATACAACTTTATTCTAACTTATATATATATATATATATATATATATATATATATATATATATATATATATATATATATATAATTCCCCACCCAACACCCGTTCAGTACGTTAAGCATAAAACCGAATCTACAGATCTAATTGGGACAACATCAGACTTTCAGGAAACTAGACTCAATTTCCTAGAACTTCATGACATAGGAGCATCTTCCAATTCTGCCCAGATTAGCAGCTATAGCTCTCGCAAGATGGGGAAAAGTTGTGCAGAATTCCAACATTCACAAAAAATCACCATATGCTTCGAGACTTTAGGTAAAGGATTATAGTCACTCAATTTTACACACAAAAGGATTCAATGATACTATTAAGACAATATCATATCTATTATTTAATTTGTTTTATTGGCTTTCAAACTATTTAAATGTTATGTACAATGTGATGTATTTGTTTCACGTTTCTTTTATTCCAAAACAATTATAAAGGCATAAAGCCATCACTAATTTTATGTCCATTAAGCTTCATGTTATGATAACAAATAGAAGAATAAATCGTAAACACTCCCATAGGTTTACTCTTACTATTTCTTTTTTTGCTATTTTTTACAATTAAGATTAAATAACTAGTATATTACCTCCAACATGTATGCATCGTTTTTCTTTTTCAAGGTCAAAATATGTATGTTGCAACAGCAATACTGAGACACCATAGGGTTTAGATATGCATTATTAACTCATAATTGGGGATATTTAGAATAGGACCAATGGCAGCAACAATTTGATACCACATGTGTTGATATTTGAAGGAAACTAGACTAGTTTGGGCAGCAACATTCATGAAACGGAAACGAGAGGAGGAATACATACACATCAACAAAGACGTCGGGAAGAATAGGACCGGAAAGAAACGAATCAAATTCTATAGGAAAGATAATAGCAAGCGTGAAACAAAAGGTAAAGAAAGTTTACAGTGTTGTGACGACATACAATTGTGGCACAAGGTAGTGATCGGTTTGCAGCAGTAAGTCGTCGGAAACACACCACACACGCATCTCTGTCTGGTTCTTTCAATTACTCTCGCGCTTTCTCCCGTTGGAGTCGATATCGTCTTACTTACGCCGAGCATGAAGCAGCTGTCAAAAGAGGAGCACGATCGTTTCTTTTTAGGTTGAGGGCAGGCACAAGAATCGCATCTCTAACACCTCGTTCCTGAGTTCAACTTAACGAGAGAAAGGAAAGGAAATGGGTGGAAATGAGAAGAAAATAAAAGAAATTGGTGTTCCCGAGTTTCATTAAAGGAGAGAAGTGGAAAGAAGTGGAGGGAAATGGGAGGATCACTTTCCCTCCGAGCTTTCTTGCCGATTTGGGAGGATTTGGAAAGAAAGAACAAAATTATTCATTTTCCTTCCACTTCTCTCAAACTCGGGAACACAAAAGAAAATTTTGTTTTCCTTTCCTTTCTCTTCTTTTCTCTCGTGACTTTATTTTCTCTTCTCTTCTTTTCTTATGTTAAACTCGGGAACGACGCGTAAATATTATTAAAAGAGTACCTTAAATTCTAAATTGAAGAATTAAGGACCCTTGATTGTATTTCTCTTCTATTATCTCCACCTTTAGATCATTTTAACGACGTCATCTTCAAATATACACGCGCTTCAAATTGTAACTTACCTCTTACGTTTCAAACCTAATTTCATTCCTCGATTTTTTTCTGCACACAGCCATGGTGCAATCAACCATCGTCAAAGGCTCTCAAAGCATATCTCCTATGTCTCTCCTTTACATCTTGAGTCTTTGGCAGCCATTCGTTACCACCACTGTCAGTATATGCTGCTGATACAACCTACAAGAAGGTAACCGACCATCCCATCTAATCTTTATTTTTGTTTTTCGATCATAGATACACATCGTGGTTTTGAATTTTTCGGGTGTTTTTTTGTTAGTCGAACAGATGCCAAGAGCATATATCAACATCGCCATGATCTTCTTAGTTTTCTAATTCATGTACCTCTATCTCTTTTGTTCTAAACCTTAATTCATTCCTTCAATCTATACCAGAAAACATAACCCTATCGAATCGATCCTATGTGTTATCACTGATACCAAAAATCAGTACCACAGGAGACAGTTGAGGTCATCGCACAGGGCATTGACATAAATAATGTCTACAGATGCTGAATTAGCTCTTGCTCCTGATGTAGAATACCGAATGCATGAAATAGTGCAGGTAATTCATGTTTATAAAAATTGTTCCTTTGAATCGCATTAGTCGAAAGGTCTGTGGTATTTTATCTTGTGAGGGCTTGAAATTGCAGATTCCCTCAGTAGGATTCTTTGTATCTTAGGCATCTTCATTAAGCTCATTCGGTATGTTAAAGATGAATACATAAACATAATTCATACATAATCAATAAATCATAAAAAAAGGAATTTCCCTATTAGTAATACCATTGTACGAGCCATAACAAATCACAAAGAAACACCACTGTTTATTTGTCCAGATTAAGTGTTGTCCCCATTAAGTCCATCAATTTGAAAAGAAAAAAACAACTTAAACAAGTGAAGTTGTAGTACTATAAGAAAATTACCTGTAATCTTCTAGCAAGGGCCTCATCTTCAGAAACTTGTCACAATCTCTTTTGTGCAAGTGGCTCATCTTAAACTTCTTTAGTTAAAGGTCTTTTCTATTTGTTTGGTGAAGAATTTTTTCTTACATCATCAAGATCTGTATATTTGAATAATTAGTACCCAAGGATTAACTCTATTATATCACCATCTCTGATTGTTAGCTTTTTTCCATATAAGAGCTTCTTCCTTTAATCCTGTGATCTAATGACAGTTGGGTTTGTTCCTTCCTACAAGCACATACCTTATGTCAAATAGACGTTGCATTTTTGACAAGGTTATAGTGTTAAAGGGATCAAACAGAGGGGTATTTTGGACATTTAACAAAGGTATATCTGAAATCTATGGCCTGACATATAAGAATAGTCTTGTTTCAGCTTATATATGTCAAATGCAAAATCTTTCGTAGCTGAAAGTGCGCATTGTATCATCCTGTGAAAACTATGTTCTATTTCCATCAAACTATGTTTTTAACAAATTTCATACTTTCTCTTTGAATGGAAGAATGTATATGATATATTCCTGTTGATCATCATCACTGGAAGTTGCATTATGACAAACATGCCTATTAATTAGATTAAAAGTCTAAAACTCGTAATTGGGGCAAGGGTATTTTGGCCTTTTAGTATTCTGAATCATTATTGTTTATATATATATATATATATATATATATATATATATATATATATATATATATATATATATATATATATATATTATTCGTGTCCTTGGCACTTACAACATAAATATCTTGAGATGAAAATGGAGTGTGGTGCATGGATAAAGATTTATTATGAATTATTTCATTTACAAATATTTCACATAATAATTAAATAAGTAGAAATTAATTATTTATAAAATAATGGAATGTGTATGTTCAGGTTCATAGATTTCACCGGGTGTCCCTCCAGGTAGTTCTGAGCACAGGAGAAATAATCAACATATTTGGTCCACGTGAGAATGTCATCAAAGGCATCAAATTAATTCGAGTAATAACATATGAGGTGATTACTCCATTGTTCTTAATTTATAATTAAGTTTTTATAATTAATATATATATATATATATATATATATATATATATATATATATATATAAATTAAGGTTTTAATTTGTTGTATGAATGCAGCCTGCGGATGTTCTACAACACAAGAGGAATTTTGTGCAGGAGTTTAACCAACCTTGTTGGTATGAGTATTTTGAACGTAAAGAAGCAGAAGAAGCCATGCTGATGGAACCCGATGAATTGGAAAAAGGGAAGCAACAGGCTGAGAAAGGTGGTTCCTGTGATGATGGGGAATCAAGTGCAAAAGAAGCAACAGTAGAAAGTTGTGAATCTGAAAAAAAAATGGAAAAGCAGAAAATTACGACTTTTGGATATATCAAATATGTTTATGATGATGATCATGAACTGGAAATATTAGGGAAGGGGGAAGGTGGTTCCGGTGTAACGAGATAAGAGCATGTGGATGAGGATGAATTCAAAGAAGCTGAATCCGAAAATGAAAAAGGTGATGAATTTAATATTTTATTAGACGATAATCATTTTATGTTTTATGAAGTAAATTTCAAATATTGTTTTTATTTTTTAAAAAAAACAACAAATAAGGGAATGATTATAAATGTATATCACTAATAAGGGACAATAATACTTACAGAAAAAGGTGTTGGATATAATCTTGATGGTTCAAGTCAGGTTAATTGGGTAATCTAGATGGGTCATGTAGGTTTATTATGCATGTTTATTTTTGAATAAAAGGATATGGTAGAAGAAGTCACTCCACTTACCAGGTTTTTAGGAAAGAATAGTATTTTAATTGTTTTTTTTGTAGCTCCCACGTGATGTATGGAAGGCTTATATATAGCCTTTAAGTGATAGCATGATAAAATAAGAAGACTAACTTTTGCAGATACTTTTCCTTCTTATATTTCTCTATCTCTGTATTTCGTTTGTGTGCAGATTTATAGCAGTAGAGAGGGCCTGATCCAACAAAAGGTTCGAGTGAAAAAATAGTTTTTTAAAGGATAGTAACTTTCACTAAAACAGAGGGACTTTAAATGTAATTTAACATAATATAAATTGTCATATTATTATGTAACCGGTTTAACCAATTATTTATTTAATATTGTACAATCTAAAAATGACTTCTCAATGAAGGGTACGGTGGTCATTTCACATAATGCCAATATAATCTTATTTGTATATAATAACAAAGTTGATGGCATTAACTTTTTGTGTAAAAGACATAAATTTCTTCTTTAAACGAACAGATGTATGTTTGTGAACATGCACAGACTCCATTTGTTTTTGTGACTGAAATGATGAGGAAATTTCAATCAGGCACAAAGGATCTAAATCTGCCTCCTCGTGCTTCTTCAGTCTCACATGTAACCTTTTTTTGCCTATTATAGCATTGCACTTAAAGTATGTTGTTATTTCTTAGCATTGTACCTTTTCCTTGAAAATATGCTGCTATTTTATAAATTATTCCAACAGGTTTTTAACCCTAAATAAGTTTGTTACCTTGAAAACTCTACCAAGTTCTAACACAATACGTTCAATGATGTTTTTTAAACCTTACATTTTTTATTCTTCTAACTTCTTTCAACCTTAAATACCGAGTTTTTAGTTTTCAATGAAAGTATGTTGGTATTTAACCCTAAATATGTTTGTTACATTGAAAAATCAACTGAATATTTGTACACACATATGTACTTTACGAGAAAGTATGTTGCAATTTCTTGAATTTTTACCTTAAACGATGGCCAAAATCACAAAATTCAAGGCTCGTCCGGTCAACAAAAAAAGTTAATAAATAAATATCATTCTAAAATTTAAATCAACAAATCGAAAATGGATTTCTCTTTTTGTTAAAAAAATGTTGTTTCAACAGATACTCGAACCTCCAACATTATCCGCGATGAAAAGAATTACACCTCATGTTCCCAAATTCCTATAATTTCATTTGCAGACATTGAAAAGAGCCAATCAGAATGCTGAAACTTTAACTGTTGTGTCAAATGAATGAGCCCCACAGGTGAACTTTTAGTATTTTGGATATTTTTTAAATTTGTTTCTTTTTTTTTTCTTTAGTATTTTGGTTGATTGTTTTTTTTTTCTAGAACATTGTTCACAAATGGAAGCCACATCTTACTACACACCCTTGTATATACTTGGTGAATGCAGTTTTAGGGTCTTACAAAAAGTGTTGTCTCTATTAAAAATGTATTCCATATGTGCAAGCATTTTCAAGTAAAATATAAGAACCGTCTAAATATGTCTCTTTAGATATTCATTAATTTAAGAAAGATACTCTAAGTAAAATATAAACACCTAAGACACCACCACTACAAATGTTAGTGGGAGCATGATCTCCAACCATTAAAACAACGAAGAATTAGAAAAAGAAGAATTGGACAAAGACCCTAAGTTCAAAGCCAGACCTTTAAACAAGATGGTATAGAATTACCATAACGCCCCTGCTAAAAATTCTCATTTTTTGTCCCTGACAGATGTTGGAAAGATGGGATTGGGACACATTTTTTATCTCTTATGTGTGTAAATTACCATGATAATGCCCCTAGTCAGAAGTAAACCCTTGAACCAGAAGGTCTAACTTACCATAATGCCCTTGGTCAAAATTCTTAATTTTTGTCCCTGCCAAATGTGCGAAAGATGGGATAGGGACACATTTTTTATCTCTCTCTCATGCATTCTTGATCTCTTATGTGTGTAAATTACCATAATGCCCCTGCTTAAAATTATCGTTTTTTGTCCCCGCCAAAAAAGTAAAAGATGTGGGAAAGATGGTTGGAGGTCTTAAGCAAACACTACAAATTGTTTTATGTGTTTAATTAAAGTTAAACGTTGTATTGCTTGAATAAGAATATGAGATGAATCACGATCAACTGCACTCATAATGAAATTGATTAATTTATGTTATTTTCTTTATTGTTATACAAATTCTAATGATTATTTATTTATTTATTTTAAATACCGGGATGACAGCAATGAATATTGAAGGGTCACAAGGGATGAGATACATTCTTTTTAATTTTTTACTATTATAGATTACAAATGCTTTTATTAAAATGGATGATTTTACTTTTGTATGCCACTTTTGGTGCTTTGTGCTGCTGCAAACAGATTATCAAACTTGAAAGAACAAGCATAGGAATACGCTTCTTTCAGAAATACCATTCATATTTATAAATCTTAAAATAAAAACATGATGATTTTAAAAACATTTTTTTCTTCGGAATACAACGGAATTTCTGACCATGAAATATATATTGTTAACAACTCGCGGTGAGAATGATTCGACTTATTTACTAAAACCAAAAGCAGACCGAACCATTCTCACCCTTAATGGTTAACAAGCTTTGTTTCATGGTCAACTATATTGTATTCTTAAAGAATAATGTTTTTTGAAAAAAAATGTCAATATAAATGTTTTATTATTTGAACTTTTTGAAATATGAATGGTTTTTAGGAATGAAAAAATAAAGTAGTGGTTTTTCGGATAAAATCTGGAAAATGTAGTAGTTTTGTGAAAACTTCCCTTATGATAACTGTGATTGTTCTATTTTCTTGTGTTCTTTGTTTAACATCATTATAGATTTTTGAGTCCTCTTTCTGTTGCTCCTTTGGTAGCCCTTGTTGCTTTTGGGCTCTGAATTTGGATTCCCCGTGGTAAGTATAACAAAAATAAAGAAATGATTTCTTCTCATGATCACATGTTTAGGTAAATACATTAATTAAACTTGTCTTGTCTTTTTTAGGTTGCAAGATGTTTCGAATTCGGGCTTCCTCAACTCATCTTTGTAGTTGTTTTTTCACGGGTAATAATGTCATATTTTAATGCATTACTGTGCACTTAATCTGGTAAACTATATATGAAGCCTTTCCTCATTAAATACTAAAATAGGTTTGTTTGGTTATGTGTAGTATCTGCCTCTTTTTATGCATTCACGAAAGGGATATCAGAGAATTTTCCAGTTGTGGCATCGATTGCAATTGTTTGGTTTTTTGCTCATTTGCTTAGGGTTGGTTGGACCTACAATCATACAACACCAAAAACAAAAACAAGTTGCCGTACCGATCGTTCTATATTAATTGATATCGCACCATAGTTACATATTACACACACTGTTAATTTTGCACTTAATTTTTTTTATTTAATTTTGTAACTTTTTTTTTATAATACTTGTAATGGTAAGAATTATATATTTGTTTCAATGAGGTGCACCTTCTTTTGATGCAGGTGAAGCTTTTATCATGATGATGACTGTTTTTGTTACTCTTGTAGAGATTTGTTTGACCGTTTGACCGTTTTTGTGTTTTTTTATTTTTTGCTAATATTTTTAAAAAGTCGAAATTATTATTATTTACAAGTTTCGATTATTTGATTTAGTCAATTGGTGGATTCATTGCGGTTTCACGGTATGAAAGTGCCACCCCCTTGCCTCCGTTTATTTTAAGTCATGGTGTTGCTTGGCAGGTAATTATAATTCTTTTGAACTTTTAGTTATAATTTTTTTAAATCTTATTAACATTAATTATAATTTGAAATTAATTTAAGCTTTTATTGTAATTTGAAAATATTCTAAGATTGTAATTATAAATCGAAAAAATTTGAAAACTCTAATTAAATTTGGTATTATATGCTCTTTATTTATTTAAATGAAAAATCTTCTAAATATCTTATTAACTTTTGTATATATGATTCAAATTATTTTTTGATCGATTTTTTACTATATTTTAAACTTTTAATTATAATTCGAAAATATTCGAAGATTATAATTATAATTCGAAAAATATTGAAGACGCTAATTGAATTTGGTTTTATATGATCTTTATTTATTTAAAAGAAAAATCTTTTAAACATCTTATTAAATTTGGTACGATTAAGATTATTTTTGGATCGATTTTTGAATCATTTTCATTCATTTAATTATTCAAAATATATGCTTCCTACCTAATTATCTTTGAAAAATCTCTATATTAATAGGGTATGAGTTTTATCTTTATTAACCCAACATAATATCAGGTACGATACACGACACACAAGAATAAAATGGTGTGCCAACGTTCTGCTGCCGGCTTCCATCATCCATCGTTCACCACCCTTTCTAAAACAAAAAATGTTGTCTACAAAGACGTCCTTCAACAATTATATATAATCAAACATTTCGTTTTATTTTTTTTTACACATTATAATAATCAATAACACGAAGTCTCTTTATGTTATTTTATCTATTTTTTTATATGTTCCCCGCGTTTAACGCGGGTCATAATCTAGTGTAACGCCTACCAAAGAAGAGAAGGAGGAGACCCACATTTACAATTCAGGTAAATGAGGTGTTTTAATTCCAATTTTATAACTTTGGTCCCTAGAGTTTAGCCATAAAGGAAAATAAACCCTATAATCCAAATTAACTACATGCATTACCTTCTAA